GAGTCCCATGATCTGGCTCCTGCCTGCCTCTACCCAAGGGAGAGGTCTCTCACCCCTCCTATCTCCTCTCCACCTTGCTCATTCTACCTACGGCAATGCTTGCTTGATGTTTCTGGAACTCCCCAAGCTCCTTCCTGCCCTGTGGCCTTTGTACCTCTGTTGAGAATACACTTCCCCTGGATCATCATATGGCGAGGCAGGGCCGGATATGCCCTGGAGGTCTCCTGTGGTCCCTCCCCGGCCCGATCATGCACTGGTGGGAACCCTCAGCCTGGCCTGTACCCTCTCACAATCCAGGACTCCTCTGGGGATGGAGAGCCAGTTTCAGCCAATCCTGCAGGCCACATCCCTTGGGAGGGCACTGGACGCAGAGCTCAGGGCTGTTGATTGCTCAGGGTTGATTGGGCGTGAGCCCTTGGCAGGCACAGTGGGGCCAGGATGAGTGGGAGAGGCAGGTAGGAGCTGCAGGCAGCGTTGGACTGTGGGTTTCGACCCGATCCCTGCAGGCCACCCAGAGGGACCCCACCTGCATATGAATTCGTGCACCAGGCCTCTAGTCTCAATATAAGCTCCATTTGGGGGAAAATATTGTCTTATTCATTTCTGCATCTACCGTGACAAGAACAATGTTTGCCACAGTTATAGCTACTAAACTGTATTTGTTGAATGAAGGAGTGAACATAACAGAATTTCTAGAAAAAAGTCACGTTTATATTAGTTTTAGAAACAGTGAATACTATAAACCCCATTTTGAAGATTCATGGTGCAAATTTGCTTTTCACAAACTTCATCATTGTATTTCTTTTTGAGTCTCACCTATAAACATCCTACAGAATCAGTATTCCATTTGGGAAAGGCTACTGATGGCTAGGGAAGTCTGTTGAGGGTGTGTAAGGAAAGGAATTACACCTCTGGCTTCCAGGCAATCCCCCCCTCTCTTCTTGTCCCCTGCCCACTCCAATATCCTAATTTCTTTCCTGGACCAGAAACACAACTCCATTCTCAGTAGCCCAGGCACTTGGGCTCTGGGGTTCACGTGAGAGAAGAAAGAGTCTATATGTCACGGCCACCCAAAAGACAAGGGAAGGTGTAATCAGACAGCCCCCCGAGTCAGAAGAGAGCTGTCCCCACCTCTGTTTTTGTATTCTTGTATGAATGAATTTTCTCTGCTCTACAAACCTGTAGCCTGGTTAGTTAGTCTACCTGCCTTAGTAGCCATTCAAAAGTTGACCTGGAAACATGAGACATGGTAGACACGGAAGTGGTCTCCAAATAATTTTTATTGTGCACTGCAGGAGCAAGAAATTTCTTATTGTGCACTGCAGGAGCAAAAAATTTCCCTATATCAAGTATTTATATAAATACTTGGCACAATCTATTTACACGCATCATGATATTAATATATTATATGCACTTTAAAACACAAACAAAATTAAAATTTTAAAAGAATGAAGTCAACTTGAAATAATCAATATTTTTAACATAGGGTTCTTTTGTTTTCAGAATAACTAGGATAGAGCTATGCATCACCTTCTTTAAAGAAATCATCCTCAGGTTTTCCTTTATTTTGTTCTGAGATTTAAATTTTTTTCTCCAAACACTCAGAAAAGTTAAAATAATAGTATAATGAATACTTGTATACTCATGATCTAAATTAAACATTAATATTTTTGCCATATATGTATTATCTGTGTTTGTGTGTATACTAGTAAATGCAACCAAATGAAAATAAGATACAAATATTATGCTATTTCAGCTATATACACCTCAGCTAGTATCACCTACAATTAAGAATATTCTTCTTCAGCCGAAACCGGTTTGGCTCAGTGGTGGAGCGTCGGTCTGCGTACTGAAAGGTCCCAGGTTCGATTCCGGTCAAGGGCATGTACATTGGTTGCGGGCACATCCCCAGTAGGGGGTGTGCAAGAGGCAGCTGGTCGATGTTTCTCTCTCATTGACGTTTCTAGCTCTAAATTAGTCTCTCCTTTCCTCTCTGTAAAATATCAATAAAATATATATATTTTTTAAAATATTCCCTCATCTACTGAGAATGAAATACAGTTCCTTCCCAAAGGCAGAATATATGTTTATTAAAAATTTCCAGAGTAAGGAGTTAGTAAAAGTCAAACTTTTCTTACTTTTGCTTTTTAAAAAAATCATTATTAGTAGTATCTCTATGTACTTATAGATTTTCATTCGATGCTTTATAATAAATTAGTCACTTTTTTTTTTTACTTCCAACTGTGGCAGTTTAAATTTATAACTTAAATCTCTAAAAATAAGCTCAATAAATGCTGGTGTAGTGTTGGCCTATGAACCAACATTGGGATAGGAAGATCTAAGTTATAAATTTACCAGTTTAAATTTATAACAAATCTCTAAAAATAAGCTCAATAAATGCTGGTGTAGTGTTGGCCTATGAACCAACACTGGGGTGGGAAGATCTATAAGATCTGAGATTTAAATTTACCACTAACATTTCCTTAATTAAAATGAAAACTGTAGTGTTGATTACATAGCTCAATAATAATTTATAGTGTGATGTCATAATTCAACGTTCTTCTTTTTGCTGGATGGAATGATCAATCCTGACTAGCTAAAGGAAAATAAACATAGATCATGGGGTAGTTCAGAGAAAGGTTGACCCGTCAGAGACATCTCTGAGGCCTCAGCAATGGAGGCTCCTGTCTGTCTGTAGGCTGAGCAGGTTCCCCAAAGGAGCACCTGCTGGGCCTGGCTGGGGGCTGGGAGCTGGGAGCTGGGTCCAGCCTGGAGGTCAGAGAGGCAGGCTCACAGAGCCGGGACAGGGGCCCAGAGGCTCTCTCCAGGACATGGTCTTGCCGGGAATGGGAAGCCTCCATCCAGGAAACTTCGGAAGTCCTTTAAAGTGAACTGGAGGTGGCTGTCAGGGCATGATGGCATGTTGAGTGGAACTGCAGGAATTTCATTCACACTATCATTCTGATACGAGTGATATTTCTGTGTTGTTAAAATGAAATGTCTTGGGTGTGATTTTTACTGGTTTAGGGAGACAACAGCTAGGGTGCCAGTTTAAAAAACAAAGCTTGGGGAGAACAAACATGTACCCTTGACTAGGGAATGTTTGCATAAATGTCCAGACTAATTCCAGACACCCACTTATTTCACATATCAGTAAATCTGCTAAGTCACAAACGGGCCCTTCCTTCATCAGGCGGTATGAGGTTATGTAGGTCTGGATGATAGATGCCAACTTGAGATGTCAACCATGAATCAGAAATAACAAGTGTTACACCTAAGAAGGAAACGGCAGGCAGATTGCTTTGTGGCTATCAGTCAAACCTGCAACATGATTTTATCTCCTGTCAGCACTTAAGTTATCAACACCATCAAAGAAAGGTGAGTTTTTCCAGCTGGGCACACATTATGTTTCATCTTAGTTTTAGAACAATAAATTTCTCTTTCAAAACAAAAGGGATGAATTATAATGTTATACTTCCACTAAGCTAGCTTTGACACAATTGGGAAATATTTTGGACTTCCCAGTAAGGGATGGGGATTGTTCAGAGTCATAATGAGCTCACATTCTTCACCCAGCATTTCCTTATCCAGGGGGCAGGACAAGATGAAAACCTTCTGGCTTTTCCCATTGCCCCACTTCAATACACAGAACAGCAACGCTGTTCACCTGCTGCCCTAATGATGCTGACACGGTGCAGGAGTCCAAGCATCAAGACACTCAGAGAACCCAGGCATTTAGCGTCTATGGCTGAAGGTGAGGTGAACACCAGAGAATGCCAAGGGGCCCCAGGAGAAGGTGAGAAGATTCCTTCCGGTAAAGGGTGAGGATGCGGTACCAGCAGGTTCATCCTATCTTTCCTTATAATGTTCTCCCACTCCCAAACTCACGACCCAACAGGCCTCACAGGATTATCTTGGAAAGATTTAAAAACACTAAGAAAACCATTACAAATCTGTATTGCTCTTTTAATATAAAAAATTTTTAGGTTCTTATAGAAAATATTAGTGTTTAACAAGGACACTTGGTTTAGTGACTTATTATTTCTAATACATATACCCAACTATTATTAAAGATTCTATACCCACCTATTATTAAAGAAGTTTGGGAACAGAGATACAGAGACATAGTTCATGACACTGGAGAACAAATAAAAGGCCAGATAGCTTGCCACCTTCATCTGAAGATGAAAGAACTAAGGTCCTTGGAGAAAATTATGATCAAAAATCATTTCTATATTTTCTTAATGTAAAGACAACACAACGAAAGTTAAAATAATCAGGCAGGATTTCCATTTGAAAAAGAAACTCAAATTCTTTAAGTTTTTATATGTTTAAACGCAGACACAGAGTAAATTATAGATTTGGAGCACTAAGTAACATTCCCTGTGCAGTGAACATTTCTGTAGTCTTATGGAAATCTATTTTCAGTATCCATGTGGTACTAATGTCCCCAAGTTTCAAAGAATAAAATAGTCGATGAAATGCAAAGCTTGCATCTAGGATACTAGAAAAATGCTAGCTATTATATGAAGGCTGTCATTTTTTAAAGTCTGGTTCTGCTTGAAGAATTACTTCAATAGCAATGAAAAGAGGCATGCCTTTCCAGCCATGATGTAATTTGCCAGGTTATACTTGCATAGTATTCTAAAAAGACAGAATCTTTTGGAAAATAGAAAAAAAAAAAAAAAAAAAAAAAAAAAAGACCAAACCTATGGTTTTTGCTCTTTATAATCAGCAGACAAAACACGTGAAAAGTATCAACTATTTGTTTTTAACTTTGTCTACTTCCCACTTCTAGATGCTTCAAATAGGATAGAAAAAGGAAAGCAGCAACAACAAAAAATTCCATAGACTACACTGAAGGTTAACATTTCAATGTTTCATTTGCAGTCATTAGTAAAGTCTAGAAAGGAAACCAATTATTAAGTGCCGCCTTAGTTTCTGAATATTTTTCCATAAAGAAATAGTAAATGTGAGCCATGTATTATTGCATAACCAAGTTACTTTTTTCTTTTCATAAATTTTTTTGCTTCTTTCAAAAGCTCTTCCATATCTTCCTTCTCTTCATCCTCCTTTCCAGGTTCCCAGTCAGAATCTTCATCTGTGGGCTCATACTCTTCCTCTTCATCATCTATAAAGCTGTCATTCAGGTCGTACTCATTGGGTTGCCCTTCATCGTCATCCACATTGTTTCGGACTGAAAAACAGAAGTTTGGTACATGAATTGCCACTCACCCTGGGATTAGAGATGGCTAATTGTAAAATGCCCTTCTCCGTCAAGAAAAATTCACTTTACCTAATATTTAGCTAATCACTACACATTCCTAGCAAGGGGACTAAAATGACCACTTGTTATTTATTATTTCTAGTTTTTCCTACCATGAAGCTCCTACTAAAATGTCCTTTGAGATGATTTTAAAAAATACAAATAGAATTTTAAAATATATGTCAATCTCAATTTTTAACATAATTGTTATAACTTGAGCATCAAGTTTCTTGGTAGCCAAAGCTAAAAAGGAGCTACATAATAAGCTGCACAATTCTCATTAGCGTAAGAATCGCCTTGGTTTCCTGAGGGAAATCTTGCTAACTCCGAACACAACTTACCTTTTTCTACCTTGATGTCCTTGATTGATCTATTATTCACTTTGTCTGGGATGTCCTAAACCCACCCACTACAGGCCAAGAAACAAAGATGACTGAAATCCTACCACCTTAAATTAAAGACCACGTTAACTTAAAACTCCCACCTCTGGTGTACCCTGATAACCCCAGGTTTTGGAGCATCTCACCACAAACATGTCAACTCAGTGCTGGTTTTCCTGTCTCTCTGTAACTTTGCCCACTTATTTAGACATATAATAAATAAATATGTGAGTAAATGAACATTATATAAATGAGATTAAGATCTTGGGTAATGTTAAACTTTAAAGATTTAGGAAATAAGAAAACAAGTAGGTTATGATTCTATCTGATATCAATAAATTTAAATATATAAGACCTCAATACTTAAATTAATATTTGAAATACTCCAGATACTTTAATTGGTAGGTTTTGGAATAGAAAGAGATATTCTAATTATGTTGCCACAGAGCCTTTGAAAGTGCATTAAAAACATAAGGCTAAATGTTGCTTAATATTATCTATAATTTTTTTTAGAAAAATCTTTCTAATGAAGTAAAAATATTTTTACTTCAAAGAGATTTTGCAAAGAAAATTCACATATTTTTAATGATGCCATATAATACATATTGATAGTGTTTAGGAAAATGGTTCTTATTTCTGTGAAGATACACAGATGTGTCAAATGCTTTTTTCATAGAAAAATGCTAAACTTCATCAATAAAATATAATTTTAATCAAGATTATTACATTATTGCTAGAAAAGAAGTTAACAATCATAAATGCTGCTTCGTTAGATACAGCCTCAGTAAAAACAGTAAAATATATAATCTCCATACATATTTCCTCAGATAAAATAAGTATACTGGTGTCTGGAGTAGTAAAACACTAAAGTATGTTTCAGCCAGAAACATCTAATGGGATCCCCAATGGTGAAATTATTTTTATCACTGGGTTACAAGTTGATTGTGTTTATACAGATACACATAGGCATAGCCTGAAAGTGTGCATTTCATTCTCTCACTCTGTGGGCAGAGGTATTGTGCACTGAACTGGCCTCTGCCAATGATACAAACAAGCCAGAATTTGCTAAAAGGGAAAAATATTACAGTTCGGAAGGAGGGGAAACAGAAGGTCAAACAGGCTGATGTAAATAGGACTGAGGGACAGTAATAGTTGCTTGTCTAGTGTCTATTCCTGTTTCTTCTCTTTGCCCCCAAATTTTAGTTTCTATTAGGGATCTCTGTGGTTCTGAAGGAGGTGACTCTATTCTGGTTCCAGGGTTGGTACAAACTAATCAATGGCATAGTGAATGGTCAAGAGAAATAATGTGATCTAAGCTAGTAAAAAAAAAAAAGTGAATTTTTATGATTTTTTTTTCTTAGAATAGAGAGAGTCAAAGTTGTTAATTCTCTTTCCCTCTCTCCTTAGATGTAGAAGTGGGTAGTCTTAGGATAATATCAACTCCTTTAAAGACAGAATGGTGGAAGAAGATTGGGTCACTGGTGACATTATTAACAATATTAGTGAGCCAAAACATAAATTATGTCTAAATCTAGTCCTATATTTGAACTTTGCAATTATAGAAGTGAGCAAGATCTCTGTACTGTTTAGACCAATTTGAAATTTTGTTTTCAGGTACTTACAAAGAAAAAAATCCTAATAGATGCAAGGATAAATATATATTGTTATACAATAATTGTAGAAAATATTTGCTGCATACTTATATTTTTATTGAATAAAAATCATTAAAATTAGCAATTTGACAAATTCACAAGTGAGGTTTTGGAAAAAATTCATAATAACTACAAACTGTATGTAGGTTTAATAGGGAGGCATTTAAAGGTTTCATTTTGAGTTTCCTGAAGAAAAATTACTTACTTGAAAGTGTACTATGTTTATATTCTACCTTGTGCTGAGGATTCTTCCTGAAGAAAAAGAAAGAAAAGAAATCAGAAGTAAGATCTAGTTTTCCAGTCACTAAAAATTAATGACTATTTTAATTAAACTAGAACACTCACCAACTCACACAGACAATTAGACCCCAATAAGCCTCTCTTTGAAAAGCATTTGCTTTTCCTTATTAACTACACTCACCATGCTGTACACAGCATTTGCTTTTTGATTTCAACATTTACTGATGCTAGGCATATTTCTAGATGAAAAGATAGAGTGGTGAACCAAAGTTCTTTCCTCATGACTTATACTCTAGAGAAAGACAGCATGAGACAAACAAAATGTATCATATTCCTAAAGTAAAATATATTTTATCTTTAAAATGTCAATGTCATGTTACATATATAAAAATATAATGTAAAATAGTATATAAAATATATAACACAATATAAAATGTGTGTGTGTGTGTGTGTGTGTTGTATAATACCTAAAAGATACTTTTAAAGTTCTTCTGAGTCCAAAGAAAAATCTGACAGTCACAGTAAGCAGACTCCACTGCAATCAGATTCCTGGCTACTAACTGCTCAGCATCATAAGACACTTAGCTCTAGTCCATCCATCACTCAGGGGAACAAGGAACACAGAGTTCTTCCCAGATGCTTCCGAGAGAGATGTCACTGTGTCTTGGACCTGTTCTCATCTGGCTTGTTCAACTTGAGCAGTATGTTGTGCAAGGGACTCTGGTTTCAGGATCAGAAGACCTAAGTCTGAATTCAAATGGCACTGCTACAGGTTATGGGATTCAGGTAACTCCTATGAACCAAGTCTCCACTTCCTCCTCTGTAAGCAGGGATAATAGTGCCTACTTCACACAAGGTTATTCCAAGAGTTAATGAAGTAATGTGTATAAACATTTGTAGGCTATTAAGCATTTTACAAGTGTCAGCTATTTTTATAGAAAGAGAAATCAATTTTACTTTAAGATAGCCAACAATATCTGAAAACTTGCCAGCAAAAGTAATTGCCAAGTAATACTACATAGCTAAGTTTTGCCTTCAATAATACATATAATTATTATGGTTGAATATGTCCCCAATCATATTTCACACACTTATAGAATATTTTCTAACATTTTCCTATATATATTCCATTCTCAAAAACCAGTTATTTCATAATAAGGCAGAATGCCTTTTTCATATTCTGTAGGGTTCTTTGGAGGCATATGAGCATTTGTAATAACTCTCCAGGATGATTTTAAATTCCATTCAGGACTTGTTCCTAATAATGAATAGAAATACTCAGAGTTCATTCATAAAAGATTTATATCAACCTTGTTCACAAATGGCATTTTCTATAACTCAGCAGGTCTCAAAATCCTGTATGGTTTTTCGTGTGTGTGTGTGTGTGTGTGTGTGTGTGTGTGTGTGTGTTTGCATTGTTACTAATTATTAACAGTAATCTTCAGGTTCTAAACACAAACCATACACCCATAACCACCCCAGGTTTTTGTGAGCTGCTACATTTTAAAATATACATTTTCTAAAACATTTCTGATTTTAATGATATAGGTATATGAATAACAATACATAGTTGAAGGAAGAACACTTCAGGAAGAGGTAATTTTTAAAAAGTCTTTAAATTTGCTTTAAGGCCAACATAGAAACAAGCTAGGGCAGGTGGAAAAACACAGAAAGGACTGTATAGCTCAAGGGGAATGAATGAGAAGGAAAATATAAGGAAATCAAGTCAGAGAACTTGTGAGACATGGTAAAAGAGTTTTGTAGGAAGCTATTAAGTAAGAAAACAACATTACACAACTTGTTTTTAGAGAATTCCTCTAGTTGCTACTCGGAAAACAAACTACAGAAAAGCAAAGGAAGGAAAGGGATATACCCCAGGAAAGAGGTTATGACTAAGATGATAGAGACAGAGAAAGTAATAAGTGGTTACAGTTTTAAAGGTTGAAATGGCAAGAACTGCTGATGGCCTGGAAGAGTGGTGTGAAGAAAAGAAAAGAAGCAAGAGTGCTTCTTGGTTTGGGGCCTCAATATTCTGTTAAGGTGAAGTTACTGACAAAGATGGAGCACACTTGTGAATGCGTTGCATTCTTGATGGAAATCAAGAGTTCTGTTTCAGATGTGGTAAGTGTGAACTACCTATTTACAACCAAGTGGGGGCATTCAAACATGAGTCTGGTGCCATTAAGTTAAATTAGCTCACCCAGGGAATAAGGGTAGTATAGAGAATGGATGAGATCAGAGAACTGAGCCCTCTGGCTCTGCAATAATCACAGGGAGAAAAAAAGGAAGAGGAAACAGCAAAGAAGCCTACAAAAAGTTGCTGAGAATATAATGATCTGACTGTATGAATATGAATAAATTGCTCTCTGCTCTCAATTTCTCTACCATTGAGTGGAGAACTCTAAGCATAAATGATCCAACCTCTATTTTCCATGTTTTTATGAGGAACTGAGGCTCAGAAAGATCAAAGTTATACCATAGAACTGGCATAACCATAACTAGAATTTTAAGTCTGCTGATTTTAAAACCCATCTCTCCATTATAAGGAACTATCTAAAGATTAAGTAGGCAACAATGATGAGAACAGAATAGTAATTTTTATTTTTGCTTACTTCCAAACATGTGGTAATTTAATATCAAAACTTAACACTCAAAAATTTAAATGAACCAGAAGTACTATTTTACATCAACTGTCTAAAATAGAGACTAGCACATTAGGTGTTCAATATTTGCTCAATGAATAAATGATCACACTATCTTTTTGTTTTCATCCCAAAATAATTTACCTTGCATTTTTAAAATCCCAACACTTATTTTAAAACCTAATGCAAAAACATGAATTCTATGTTATCAAATATCTAAGTCTCAAAATTTAGAAGAAAAAAAGAATAAATATGGTCTTTGTTAAATAATGAAAGAATAAACCAGAAAGTAGTCAATTTAGTAACTGGAAGTAATTATAATTTGCTACTTATGCCAAAAGAAATATGCAAATTCTTATATATTTGCAATTAATACTAAATATAATAAAGAAAAACAAATTTATTATTAAAATGAACACATATTCAAAAACTAAAAAGAGAAGAAAAATACCATACAAGCCATATTTTGTCAAGACTATATGAAGATAATTGATGGTGTTACTGCTATTTATAAATAAATTTTTAAAAATTATAGTCAAGTATTATGTAAAACTGTGTAGCAAATGATCAACATTTAGTCTAAAATACTTTTCTTCTAAGACCATATTCTTATTAAGGAACTATAAGATGGCAAATGATGATAGGTTACTTTCTCTAACTGCAGATCCTATAAAAATGCATTAAAAGATACTATCAACTTTGATTCTGCTCAACTACAAATAAAGTGATTGATAAGTCTCACATAACTAATTCTGGGAATTTCAACTACCAGGCAACTGTAACTAGTGTTTCTGTAATAAAATCTATTCATTTTGCCTTAAATTATATAATATAGATTTATACTAAATAAAGGTTCCTATTTTTTATCAAGTGGCCTCTAAAAGTCAGTATCTTATAATTTGAAATGTATACCTCTGTACATTATCAGTTAAGATAATATTGCAATAACTTAAAACATTTTGGGAAAATAAAATATTTTATGTCATAGCTGTAAACCTGAATCAGCAAAAACAAGATATCATAAATTTACTTATTATCAAATATACATTTAAATGATTTATTGCTTGTGGTGAAACCCTGTTCTTTCACACTGTACAGATCATGTTACAGATTCATTAGAATGAGAGCACTTATAGTTGATGACTGATACACTTCCTTACCTCATCCCTCTTAAAAGGTACAATGAAATAAAAAATTGAAAAGTTGGGCGCTGGCTTCTGAGAAAAATGAAGGCACCAACATTTTCATATGTATAACACCTGTTAAGGTTTTGTAAATTCAAGGCAATGTATATGAGTTTGTCTTCACATTAAACTGGTTGAAAATTCATTCCAATCATTTTAGTGTATATGCATTCTAAATTTAATGTTTAATTTAACACTCTGATCGGTAGATTAGCTTGCTGCTGGGGTTTGACTGATGGGGACTAAGCAAGATGGGCAGGACACACCCTGGGGCCTGCCCATGGTCCCTCTCTGACCCAATCATGCACCAGTGAGGTCCCTCAGCCTGGCCTGCGCCCTCTGCAATCTGGGACTCCTTGGGGGATGTCAGAGAGCCTGTTTCAGCCAAATCCAATCCCGCAGGCCACTCCCCTTAGGAGGGTGCCAGATGAAGTGCTCATGGCTGGTGAGTGCTGCTCTGGGCAGCAGGCACAATAGGGCTGGGATGAGCAGGAGCAGCAGGTAGGAACTGCAGGTGGCATTGGACTGTGGATTTCAGCCTGATCCCTGCAGGCCACCCAGAGGGACCCCTCCTGTGCACAAATTCATGCACTTGGCCTCTAATATATAACTAAAAGGTAAATGAAGAAGAAAAATGGAATGAAAAACACTTGGCTAAATCCAAAAGAAATAGGAAAAGAAGACTAAAGGAACATAGACTTTGTGTGAGAAATAGAAAACTAATAGTAAAAGACAAAATTAAACTGAAATATATCAGTAATTGTATTAAATGTAACTGGACTAAGCATTACATTTAAAAGGTAGAGACTATCAGACTGGATAAAAAAATAAGACCATGAAATCAATTATACGCTATTTGTAAGATACATGCTTTAAATATAAAGACAGAGATTAAAAGTAAAGGATAGAAAATTGATTTGTGTCACACTAAGGAGCCCGGATAAGAGTGTATGATGGGATAGCATCAACCCTTTTAATTTATATGATTTGCATTTTAGAAGGTTAGAAATGAGGAAAATTTCAGATATTTATAAGGTAAACAACAATTTAGAATTATCTAAAAGAAATATTGTTATCCTACTTATTAGAAGAATGAAAACCAACTTTCTATGGGAGTTTAAAACTAAAAGTTAAAGGCTTGAGATGAGAAACTGCAGGCATAAATGAATAAGTAACAAAAATTAAGGAGAACAGGAAGCACAACCAAACCTACTGGGTTTCCATACCTATAACAAGATTCTCCAAAAGGGCATTCAGGCCGGTCATCAGCTAGATCTTGACACATGACTTGTACACCACCATAATCACTATCACCAGGGTGGCTGAAATGTTGGAAATGGACAGGATTCTTCCTATAAGGATTACAAATATACAGTGAGAAAAAAAATAACTAATAGAATATGCAAAATTTCTAGATATACTAAAAAATAGTAAGATATGGCAGGAAGTGAAGCAACACACATCTGATTATTCCAGAATGTGAACTAATGCTACATTGTTAAAAACAAAACTCATCACGTATTCAATACAAAATTCTCCATGGTAACAAAATTAATTTCTAGTGAAATATGGTAAGCCATGTATGTCAATTGATATTACTTTACAGATAAAAGTTTAAGGACTTTTAATGAGCACACTAAGGCACTCTGCTAAGATTTTAAAAAAACAAAAAAACAAACAGACCATTACCAACATTCTAGAAGTCTCCACAGGTCTCCTTCTAATCATTAAACCCATTTTCCTACCCAAAAGTAGACACTAACACTATACTATCATAGAAAATAGTGTATCTCAAATTTTTTGGTTGCAAGAAAAATTTACTAAAATTCCAGAGAGCTTTTGTTTATATAGTTGTTTAATCTGTTAGAAATAAAAAATAAGAAATTTAAAAGATATATTTAAACAACTTTATTACTAGTAGCCTGGTGCATGAAATTAATGCACATTAAAAAGGAATTAGAGGAAATATTTTGATATTGCTATTTGCCCTATCTCTATAATAGAAGTATCCAGCCAGCCCCACACCCATTGGGCAACACCAAGACCCAGCAGGCCTCACCCCCATCAAGCCTCACAAGGCGGGAGATGCAGCCTCACATCCTGGCACCAGGGCCTCAGGTCTTCCAGCCCTGGCACCAGGGAAGGAGGCATGGCCTCAGGTCCTTGGCCCTGGGGCTGGAGTGGGGGGGCACAGCTTCAGGGGAGTGCAGCCTCAGGGGTGTGGCCTCAGGTCCCCCAGCCCTGGCACCAAGGCAGGGGGCGCAGCCTCAGGGGGCATGGCCCTGGTCCAGTGCCATGCAGTCTCAGGTCCCTGCTGATTGGTCCCTAAGGTGTCACAGCATTATGGTGTTACATAATGATGACCATTTGCATTTTAGCCTTTAATTATGATGACTAGAGGCCGGATGCATAAAATTTATTCAAGAGTAGGCCTTCCTCCCTCCAACTGTTGGCACTGGCTTCCCTCTGGCACCTAGGACCCGGGTTTTATTCTGGCATCTGGGACCTGGGTTTCCCTGGGTTTTCCTGGCTTGATCCAGAAGGTTGTCCAGAAGGACATATGGTCTATGCTTTTATTATTATAGATCATGAATAACATGTCTTAATGTAAATAACTCTACCTTCCTCCCAAAATTCATGGAGACACTGTTTCAAACTTTGAAAATGTATTTAATGGCTCAATCATAATGGAGGGCATCTGGATTATCAGATCTGCTTCTACATTCAATCATTAACAGTAATGCAGATCATGTAGCCTCTGGAAAACTCTGCTGTACATCTGTGAGTGAGAGAATTAAAGTGAAAAAGACAAACCCACAAAATCTTAGTATCATTATGAAAATGGTTATATCCTTACAGATTCCCTAAAAATCTTCCTGGGAACCAGAACTTCTCAGGAGTCTCCTGACCATACTTTGAAAAGTGATATTATAAAACAACACACTAGTTTTCTCAGTTCTTGAATTTAAATTGAAGAATATAGTATATACTTCTTTGAGAATGATTTTTTATGTTTACATGATTACTCTATATTATTGAATGTAGCAGTAGTGTATTTTCATTAGTGTGTAAAATTCCATTGTATGAAGTTGCTACAATTTACTTGTCCATTCTACTATTCATAGACCTTTGGGTTCATTCAAGTTATTGGCTTTTATAAATAACAGTGCCATGAACATTATATTTTTGGTGTACATATTTATGCATTTTCTACATATGCAGAAAACTCTAAAGATTCTACAAAAACCATTTAGAAGTAAAACACTAACTCAGCAAAGCTGCAGGATAAAAAAAAAAAAATAAGTTGTTTCTATACATTCATAATAAATGACCCCAAAAGAAAAGTTAAAACTAATTTCATTTTTGAAAATAAAAGTTACAAATAAACTTAATCAGAAGGTGAAAGACTTGTACACTGATTTAATTTTTATTAAAGAAGACACAAATAAATGTAAAGATATCCCATGTTTGTGGAATGGAAGACTTAATGCTGTTAAGATGTCAACACTACCCAAAGCAATCTACAGATATAATGTAATCCCTATCACAATCCCAATGGCATTTCTTAGAGAAATTCATATGGAATCTCAAGGGACACCAGATATTCTTAAAAGGTAAGAAATATTCTACAAGTTTATAAATTATGTTCCACATGTGGAACTAAGGCTTTTTTTAGAACAGACAAAATTGTGAATAAATGCATAAATTCTAACTGTTGAAATTGAAAAATATTGTTGTTCAAGTGCTAGAATGGCGTTTTAAAGAAAGATAATATGAGTGTGAAGTTAACAGAATATGTGATATATGCACACCATTGCAGAGAAGATAAACTCTACTGGGATGTATTGGTTTCACAAGTTGGAATCTCAAAGAAATGCTTCTGGGATAGTATTACATAATTATAAACACTCTAGTATAAACATAGATGAAACTATAGCCTAAAACTAAGGTACATTAATTTTAATAAATGAAATTAGAAAATATAGTGCAATCAAATGAAGTAAGTATAGAAGTAACCAATTAATCCAGAAAATATATATTCAGTTGTTTTAGAAGGTATTATGATGATTCAAAAGGACCATTAAAAAATATAGAGGAAAATGCACAAGTATAATAAGATGCCTAAGCACAACCTAAAATTATCTTGATAGTTATAATAAACACAACTATTTATGAAGCCATCTCTCTAATATCTCAATAAAACACTAAATAAGCAAATATCTGGATCTAAGTGATTTGATTTTCAAGTCTGGAATCCCCAGTTCAAATCCTTGCATTAACCAGCACGTCTACATATGAAATGTCTCGTTATTAAAACCTTATAGCAGGATTTGTAAGAATGCACACTGAGAAAGTATAAACCAAGTAGATACATGAAAAAGCTCCTAATCTTTAGGCCAATGAGTTTTAGTAGGCTTTTAATACATGATAACATATATCTATATAGCTACATGCCATTAAAGTAATTGAATTATAGCTACTTGTAATTTCATTTTACCTGTAGCAGTTTGCTCCATACATGCAGGATGTTCTCTTGACCTCGTTTTCTTCAGAACCTTGTAGAACTGGATCGGCTGCTTTTGCATGCAGAGTTGCAGGGTTGGAGGGATCAGAGCTAGGCCCAGGACAAGATCCTTGAGACTCCCCATGGGAAGATTTGCCTTGGGCACTCGAACAACTCTCAGAATAGATCACTGTCTCTTCTTTATTTCGTGTTCCTTTGGTGATGATTTCATCTTCAGAAACCTTACCAACTTCCTCTGTTGGGATTTCATTTCTCAGTACATTAGTCTTCTTATTATTCACATCTGTGTTACTTAATATGATTGCAGAAACTGATTGTGGCATTTCCTAAAAAACAAATCAGAAAAAAATGTAAAAAAGAATATGTAAAGTTAAGCATAAAAGCATGACACTACAAGATTCATGCAATATGTATATTTTTAAATTTTTAATATTTCATTCAGAATTATTAAAAATACCATTTTCTATGTCTCTAGTTAATAACTTAAAAAAACATAGTTATTAGAAAAGAATTTATAGCTGGACCAAACCATTCCAATCATGTCAAACATTCCATTAAAAAATACTAACCAGAAAAAATAGAAACGAAGCATAAGCAAATACATTTGCTTTCATTTGAATACAATCTTTCTCAAAAAGCCTACTAATCTCTTAAATTTTCTGCTCAACAATGTGTTTCGTTCTTAACATGCACAGTCCTTAATAATTTCTTGTAAGTTACTGCAATACTTCATTTCTCCCATCTAAATATCATGATTTTTCCCTATAACTGAATAATGAAATTACTCCTCCCTCACAGATAAATTTACATGAAGCTATGTTATGGCCAGCTCAGAAAATAAACATGATTCCTCTGACATGATTTGAATAAAAGTTTCAGTTTAACCAATTAGAGGGGTTGTGAACCAGCTGAGTATTCTCATTAACAATATCGGACCTTTTTCATTTGTACTTACTGCCAGCACAAAGAGTAAACCTGGTCCTATGCTATTACAGATGACCGCTTACTGACTAACACTTTCTTTGGAGTGAAAACACTTCTCAGATAAAGCCCAGTCCTTCTGGGAACCATTTCTAGGAAGTGATGACAACATACTAGATACATATGAATATTCACCCCCATGTATAACTGAGGACTCATGTATACTGGCTGCATCTGGAAAAAGCTGATTTTTATATTACTTAATGCCCAACAGTTCAAATTTCTTGAGAAGATATTATTAACATGGCTTCTTTTGGACAAATAACGTGGCTTCTTTTGGACAAATTTTAATACTTTTCTTTTTTAAAATAATACAGAATGTAATTTTAAAATATTATCTAAACTAACTTAACAATTTATAAATGGAACCTAAGTCTTATAATGTTTCTTATAATAACTATTGGAAAAGCAATCATTGGCTACCTCTTAGAGCTAACCTTCTGCTGGTGACATTTATACCATTCTTCTAAATCATAAACTCTTTTCTCCTAAGCTACTCAACTACACCCCATTCTTATCTCCCTCTGCTGCAGGACCAACCAACATATGCCAGAGACTAAGACAATCCTGGGCCACCTCCCCACTGGGCAGTCTCCCACCAGGTCAACTCTCACAGGTTGCTTTTCTGCCTATGCAGGTACTAATTGGGTAGGTAGGCCAGCAAATCCACTGGCTAAGCCGATGTCTAAGTAAATGCCATTCTCTTCTTCCTGTTGATATATCTAAACTCCACAAGTAATTCTCTCAGAGCCCCCTCTTCTCTTGATTTTGGAAAGGCAGAAAAACCTCCACACAAACATAGCACTCCCCCAAATCTTAAAGCTTTGTCTCTCGGTTCTTTTTGTATACAGCCTAAAGGTGGGTCAGTGAATGCCTTTCAACAAGCCCCACGGGAAAGGTCTGGCTTTCACTGTTGGAGGCTCCTTTCAAACACGAAATACTCAGTAGTGTTGTTCCAGCTTTGGGCCTCAGCAACAGTTATAGGACAATGTGGGGAGGGGGAGTCCCACTCAACATCTGAAAAAAGGGTATTGCTAAGGGAAGAAGTTAAATAAATTAGAATGAATTCTTACTATAAAACACTGTGTATATAGTGTGTGTGTGTATATACATATACATATACATATACATATACATATACATATATATATATATATATACTGAGTGACCATATTATTATGAGTTCATAGATCATAATAATAATCTGGCCACTCAGTGTATATCCTATATAATAAAAGGCTAATATGCGAATTGTCCCCTAGACCAGGAGTTTGACCAGCAGGCAGGCCGGCCAACTGCCCATGTCCCATCCCCCTGGCCAGGCTGGCCGAACCCCACCCATGCACAAATTCATGCACCAGGCACACGCGCCTGGGTGGGGTGTGCACGCACACTGAGTGGCCAGATTATTATGCACTTAGAGATCATAATAATCTGGCCACTCAATGTGTGTGTGTGTATAAAATTTATATAAAGAGAGAAATGAAAGAGAAGAGGGGGATAGAGGAAAGAGAGAGAGATATCAATTTCTTGTTCCACTTATTTATGCCCTCATTTGTTAATTCTTATATGTGCCCTGATTGGGGATCGAACCTGAAATCTTGGCACATGGGGATGATATTCTAACAACTAAGCTACCAGGCAAGGCTTTTTTTTTTTAATTAAACAATAACCATATACATAGTACCATGATCCCAGTTAGCTTTAAAAAAAAAAAAATCCCTATATAGCTATGTGTATAACTATATATGAAAAGGTATAACTCTAAATGAAAAGGTTTAGGATACAAATCAAAATCTTTGTAAGATAATGGTACTGAAGGATAAGACAATTCAATATATATATGTTTTATTCTACATGCTTCTGAATACTCTGTTAGTGGTAGTGTTTTTTTCACAAGTATGTATTACTTTGACCACATGGGGGCAGCCATCTTGTGTGTTGGAGTAAAAATAAAAAACATATAAAAGAAAATGAAATATAAGTCATGAAATGTTTGGCATCATATTTCAACTCCCTCTACTTCCATGAAATATAAGGAAGGATTTGTTTTATTTTTAAATATCTTTACAAGAAATATGTTTAACACGTTAATTTATTGTAAAAGAGAAAGAAATTATAAAGTCACAGATATCAATTCTATGGGTCAAATATAGCATTTTAAGAGTCACAGAAACTAGAATTCATAATGTTCTTTATGGAACTCCATGAAATATTGATATCCAATAGACCCTTGGGATTTAAGAATTTAACAATCATGGTTTCAATTATTTATAAATGATCCCCAAAATCCATTATATGCAGTAATTTGTAAGTTTGCTGAGACATAAATTTGCACTGCACCAATTACAAAGCTCATGAGCCAGAGTAAGTGAATTAGCAACTGAGAGAACAGAAAAAAAAATGGGAGGTTCTCTGTACTTGGAAGAAGTAGGGGAAAGGCAGAAAGTTCCATATTTTATAAAATACCCACATTGCTTATTTCTTAGATTGGATAAAAATATAAAGAATGAAGTATGGGAGGCTAGAGATTCATTATAGAGAGGACGGATGCCCTACACTGTAAAAATACATGCTAGAGACCTCAGGGATGGAGGAGAATGGAGCTCATGGAAGGTGACCTTGGTGCTTGGAGGCAACTGGAATGCATTATTAAGGAAGTTAAAATAGTTTATTAACTTGCCCTTCCCAATCCTCAACCATCTGAAGTTTTCATGTACTATCTAGCTTTCACCCTGATTTGTTCTGTAGCTTCCTCCTCTACTCTTGCCCATGCATATCCACACACACATCCATGCACACACACAAGACACTGCAGTGTAGATAGACATCAATGAACCATACACTTCCCTGCATCTGCATCTCTGCTCAGCAACTATGCTTTTACTGACATTACTCCTCCTTTCCAAAACAACTTGCTAACAGGCCAGCCATCTTTCACCACCTAACTCAAATACCTCCTTCAAAAGAGGTTAACTTAGTCTTTCCTGCCCCTGCCCAGGGTATACCCCAATGTTCCCACCATTTCCAGCCTCCTCATTTGTTAGGTTTATCTCAACCAACCTAAGAAAACTACCAGTTGTTTTCCTGCTCTCTGAATTTATCCAAATCTAATGTACATCATTCATTTCTTCCTAGACCTCTTCCTTCATTCATTATCAAATGACTGAGAAAGGGGTAACACTGCCTCATCTTTCTGACCACTATGAATGGTCAAAATGGAGATTCCATTACCCAAGCTCCTATAATTTAATACTAAAGCAACCACAGAGACAAGACATGCTTGTGTTTTATTTTATTTTCCTCTTAACTTAAAAATTTGGATAACATGATCCTAAAGCTACCTATGACCATGTTGTGACCATATGAAAAAAGCCTGTCAATAGCAATAAAGAATAATTCAAGAAGCACAAATAAGAAAACAATAGACCAACCTGATTTGATCAAGCCTCTGGCTGGTCCCTTTGATCTATAGTTCCTGCTGTTTTTTTTTTACATTCTGGAAATTGAATAATTCCTGTATCTTTGTGTGGGATACAATCATCAAAGATGGCTGCCAATAATCACGCCCATACTTTCTCTATAAATCATTCCACTGGACAAGTGGAGTCTGATCTTCCCCTGAATCTAAGTGGTAACTTCTTCTGAGCAAAAGATTGCTGCAGAATGATCATGTACCAGTTCCAGTTCTAGGCCTTCAGAGACCTGAAACCTTCTTCTTTCACTCTGTCAGGCACAGATTCTCAGTTTAGACTACTTAACAGTTAAGTGGAAGAAGGCCCAGCCAGCCCCCAGTCATTCCATCAATCCTTGCTGGGGCACCATTCCTGAGAGTGAAGCCACCATGGATGCTCTAGCCTAGCTGAGCTGCCAGCTCAATGCAGTCAAGCTGACACTAAAATTGTGTCATAAAAGAATTGCCTTGCTGAGCTGAACCAACCCACAGAATGATAAGAGATAATAAATCATTGTTGTGCTAAGCAACTAAGTGCTGGAGTAGCTTATTTCCCAACAATAGACAGCTGATACACGTTATGTTGCTTATGTTGATTCAGTTAGGCTTCCTTCTGTCATTTACAACCCAATCCTAATTAGACTGTGTATAGGACATACTATTATTTATTTTAAAGTTCATAAATTCAAGCACCCTCATTTCATTCCCCAGTTAGATAATTACATAACTGGTAAGGGGTGACATAAGGAAACTGATGAAAAATGAATTATTTCAGAGCAATTCTCTGCATTATCAGAAGCTATAGAGTCATAAAGCTCTTGCAGACAGTCTCATATGTATGGTAGAGAAACCCATTGTACCCCAAATGAAAAGACCTGTGTTTGAGACCTTTGTTCTCTAGCAATGTGCTCTTGTGCCCAGTTACCTCCAAGGTATTGAATGATGGTACATCAGTAGCTCTCAACCTTGTGTGCACATTAAAATTGAAAATGTTTACTTAACATAATACTGACGTGCAGGCCACTCAGACCAACTGAATCAGAATCTCAGGAGTAGAGCCCAGTGGGGGTAGGTGATTTCTGCCCCTTTTCTCTTCCTCCTTTCTCTCTCTTTTCCAGGAAAATGTGACTGATTCTTCCCAAGTGAACTGACCCAAGTCTACTCTATAGGACTGGCCAAACTGTTCTTAGCCCCACATAACTGGCAATCTCATGCCATTACAGTATGAACAGGCAGCCCCCACCTCCTGTTTTCACTCTTTTGTAACTTTCCCTCTCACCTGCTTCTGCACTGCAGACATCCTTCAGGACCAGCTTCAAGCCAGTGTTAAAGTGAAATTGGGTGGGGATAGAGGGTGGGGCTTAAAAAGGTCTTGGGTCTCAGTCTAAGTCCTCATCTCTGACCCAGTTTTATCAGAAAGCCCTGCATGAAAGGTTATGAAAAGGTAATGAAACCTTGAACCCTGTTTCTCCTGTGCTATGAGAGCTGATCTCGCTCACAAAACCTAAGATAAGGAAAAGAAATTAGCCAGGTAGAGCTCATTCATTTTGATGAATACTACTTCGATGTCATCAAAATCTCACAAATACCTTAAATATTTTGGCCCTGTTTACTGCTCCTCTCTAAAATCTATCAGTTAAAAAGGTGTTTGTGTAAGTTGTACTTGTGATCATCAAACTGATGGGTTGAAATAACATAGTAAAACATGTATATTATAGATTTTATTCTGAAAAAATAAACTTCTCTTCTTGGAAAATAAAGTCAGTTATAATAATATGTTCAGATAGTAGAGCATGTTAGGTCTCAAAGTAAATAAGTTTTACCTTATAAGCTTTTATGGGCAATACACTGAGTCAAAAAACATTTTGTTTTCATTTCTTAAACTTGACTCCAAAAGCAAGCAAGGGGTTCGGGCTATAGTTATTAGACCCCACCTCTTTAGCTGAAAGAAGGATCCATACTCGCTAGGATGTGCACTGACCACCAAGGGGCAGCTGGAGACGAGGCAGGAATGAGAGTATTATGAAAGACCTGACCCTCGGGAAGGCTACTGGCCTTTCAATCACTCCAGTGCACACTATCCTAAAACCAATCCTATCCTTTGGCTCTCATTGAGACTAAAAAGATGAGGACCACAGAGCTCAGCAATAGGTCTACACTCTATAGGATCGTGAAAATCATATCTGAAGCCACGCCTTCCACCAAGAGGAAGAATATCTGACCTTTCTGCTCCAGGGATATTTTTTTTCTTCTTCTTTCTCTCCTGTTATATGCATCCAATATAGACCTAACTTTCTTTAAGAACTCAGTGCTCAAGAATGCATAAGTTAGCCAAACTTAGTAAGTTAGCAAAAACTGAAAGAGAAGGTTTATAAATACTGGATGTTAACCTAGAAGTAGCCTGCAGGCAACAAGCTATTAAGAATTAGCCCATTTGTTGTTCTCTGACACTCATCAAGAAAAAGGTGGTTTGCCCTAAGCCAGTTTGGCTCATTGAATAGTGTTGGCCCTCGGACTGAATGGTCCTGGGTTAGATTCTGGTCAAGGACGTGTACCTCAGTTTCAGGCTCGATCCTGGGCCCCAGTCAGGGCATGTGTGGGAGGCAATGAATTGGTACGTCTCTCTCACACCAACCTTTCTCTCTCTGTTTCTCCCTTTCCCTACCACTCTCTCTAAAAATCAACTGAAAAATATCCTTGTGTGAGAATTAACAAAACAAAACAAAAAAAAGAAAAGAAAAAAGTGGTTACATGCCATTTGAGAATAACCAATATAATAAGCCAGTTTTTAATAATGGAGGTTCCAATTATAACCACATTCAGATGGACTTTAACTTTTTCCCAGTCTGAAAATTTCTAAATAACTTTGTTTTCTACAATGCAAATACTATATTAAAGGCTAGTGTCAGCAAGCCAGCAAAATAAGAGCCAGTTTTTCTTTTTGTAAACTTCATAAACTCATTAGTAAGAAGCAATTTTGTTTTTTCCTTGCTGTATACAACATATAATTAATTGCTATCTAGAACAATTAAGAAAACAATGAGATAATTATTTTTTAATCACCTTGGATGAAATGACAGACTCTTCCTGATCAGCATTTCTGCATTTTTTTCCTGAGTCTTGCTCTGCTGATGTACTTTCTGAGCTTCCTGGTAAAATCAATCTCTTTCTTCCTTGCTGTGTTATGTTTTCTTGGGTTTTGTTTTTGCAGACACCTTCTCTTCCACTTTTCCAGTTTACATTATCTTAAACACATACACAAAGAAAAAGGAGAAAAAAATTATCTCCTATATTTTCCAATGTCAATATTCAATGCCCCCCAAAAACACACAAAAAAAAACAATACAATAACAAAGAAAGAAAGAAAAAGGATGAAGAAGCTAGTAAAATTAAAGTTCCATTATGGTAATGTCAACTTGAAAACACTTATTTGCAAATCTCAAAAAGTATTAAGCAAACTATAGCCAAGAGCTCCAGCCCTGGAGTTAGCAAAATTAAGATGCTAATGAGGGCAGACTCCATCCTATCCGGATTGAGCCTAAATGGGCAATTGGACATCCCTCAAGGGGTCCCAGATTGAAGAGGGTGCAGGCTGAGCTGAGGGACACACCCCCATGCACAAATTTCATGCACTGGGCCTCTATTCTTATATAATAAAAGTCTAATATGCTACATGTCTGGTTGGCCAGTCAACCATTCAACCAATCAAACTGTAATATACTAATGATATGCTAAGGCTACTCAACCGCTCACTAGGATGTGCACTGACCACCAGGGGGCAGACACTCTGACTGGTAGGTTAGCTTGCTGCTGGGGTCCGGCCAATCGGGACTGAACAAGATAAGCCATACAGACCCTAGAGCCCTCCCATGGTTCCTCCCCAGTTGGTCAACTTCCCATGTCCCTCCCCAACCCCAAACGTGCACTGATGGGGTCCCTCAGCCTGGCCTGCACCCTCTTGCAACCCAGGACCCCGTGAAGGATGTTGGAGAGCAGGTTGTGGCCCAATTCCATGGGCCAGGCCAAGGGATCCCACTGGTGCATGAATTCATGCACTGGGCCTCTAATATGTACATAAAATTCTAAATTTAAAAATATCTATATTTAGCCCTGGCTGGGTACCTCAGTTGTTAGAGCATCATTCCTACATGTCAGTATTTGTAGATTTGATCCCTAGTCAGGGCACATACAAGAGTCAACCAATGAATGCATAAATGGGTGAAACAATCGGTGAATGTTTGTTTGTTTGCTTGCTTGTTTGTTTTCTCTCTCTTCCTCTCTCTAAAATCAAATTGGAAAAGAAACAGATAGTTCTGCTCAAGGACATATATGGAAAAACTTCTAATTCATTTTAAATGACTGCTAATATAGCTCTACCACCAAAATCTAACATAGTTGGCATATGTGGGGGAAAAAATACAAACCATACTTGAGAGTATAGATACAAATGTTCTAAACTAAATATTAGCAAATCTAATCTAACAGAGTATAAAAATAATAAGCCATTATGATAAACTGAGCTTATTCCAGGAACACAGCATGGTACAATATTAGGAAATCTACCAATATCATTAATTACATTAACATATGAAAATGCAAGACTATGTCAATACTGAAAAAATGACCAGAGAATTCAACAGTTATTCCTGGGGGGAAAACACACACACATCCTAAATATAAGAGTACCAGAATCAATCCCAATCCTATTAAATGCTGAAAAACTAACAGAATTCCTATTAAAATCAGAATAAGAAACAGGAATCAATTTTACCCATTTTTACTTAAAATTTACAGGTTATAGTGTATGAAATAAGGTCAGAAAAATTTAAGAAGCAATAGATAGATCAAAAGAGCCAGAAGTATCATAGAAGCATGGAACAGACTGATGAATTTCAGAGGGAAGGGGAGTGGAGTGGCAAGAACTTATATGCATAACTCATGCACACAGAAAACTGCAGTGAAGGCCTAAGTTGGGAGAGAAGTGTGGAACTGAGGGAGTTAATGGGGGGAAAAGAGGGATATCTGTAATACTTAAAACAATAAACTCAATTTTTTTAAAAAAGAGCCAAAATGTCATAATTCTATAAATATGATTACACAGCTGGAAAATCCAAGGGGTTAAAAAAACTATTATAATTAATTAGATCATTTAGCAATATTGCTGGAAATAAAATAAACACAGCATGGGGCAAAAGTAGGCTTACAGTTGTGAGTACAAAAACACAGAGTTTATTACTGTACTAGAGGCCTGATGCACAAAATTCATGCAAGGGGCTCGGTCGTTGCAGCCCTGGCTTTGTCCAGAAGGTCATCCAAATGGTCATCTGAAAGGTCATCCAGATGATCGTTCTGCTGTTTGGTCTAATTAGCATATTAATTCTTTATTATATAGGATTATTTATTAATTATTGCCCTATCACTCCTCTGAACCTACTACAGTCCAAACTAGTATTATGCTGTCCACAACATACTTGATCAAAAACTTTAGAAAACTTGTGTGACCACTATGCTGAATATTAAAAACAGTAAGAGTAATAAATCAATTAAAATAAATATACAATTGTGCTATTTTATTAATCATCCCAAACAAAACCATTATAAATTTTGGACAAAATATATAAAAGCAATTATCTAAAGACACTGGAGAGTGACCAAAAGGCAAAAGTAGAGAAGAATCTAAGCTTGGAAAACTCACTACAACCTGTGAGGTTTGTGAAATTTGTCTCTTTCCTGAGAGCATCTCCCAATTCACAGGTAGCAGAAGGCTGCAGCCTTACTGGCTTACCTGTTTAGAGGACAGAGTTTGAGGCGTGAGGAGCAGGGAGAAAATTAGGGATAAAATCCTAAAAGGAAAAAACCAACAGAAAACCAAGAACCAAAATAAAATCAACCCAAATCCTTTGCTCACTACATGGCCTGGGGAAAGCCCTGGAAGGCAGAGAAAAAGCAGCAGCTGGAAGCTGAGAGAACTAAGCAGAGACTGTAACTGCTGTCCACACAGGGGAAAACAGAATTTAGGGTTTGCATTAACTGTGTATTCAAAGAAAATTGCCTATCAGGCCAAATTAATTGTCTATTAGAACAAGAATACCTATTCAGAGGAACATAAAATCAAAAGCTCTACATCATTTATAGCATCCAATTTCCAACAGAAAGTCACAAGAATGGAATAAAAGGAAAAATGTAACCCATGTAAAAGAAAACAAACAAAAGAGCTGAGACCAGTCTGGCTCAATGGATAGAGCGTTGGGCTGGGAACTGAAAGGTCCCAGGTTCGATTCCGGTGAAGGGCATGTACCTTGGTTGCAGGCACATCCCCACTGGGGGTGTGCAAGAGGCAGCTGATCCATGTTTCTCTCTCATCGATATTTCTGACTATCCCTCTCTCTTCCTCTCTGTAAAAACTCAATAAAATATTAAAAAAAGAAAACAAACAAAAGAAACTGATCTTGAGATGACTGAAAAGTTGCAAATAAAATGTTGACTAAATAAGATATTTTTGTAACCTTTTTAATAATCTTAAATCCAATGGGAATACCCAGCAGATGACATAAATCATAATATTATTTGCAGGACAGTAAGCTATACTAGGACAGAGGTCACTTCTTCTTTAAATCTTCCAGCACATAATATCATGTGCCTAACACTTTTTAAAAGTTATATTAATTTATAAAGCCCTTACTGTGCTGGCTTTTATCTTAGACATGCCAGCCCAGGTTTGTTTAAAAACCTGTTAATATGGTAAGTCTAGCGTATATTAAATAAAAAGATAATTAGCAGGATGTTTGATAAATGGCATAATAGTGTTCTAAATTAGACTTCATGTAGGTACACATCTAAAAAACTGGTAAGCTATGTTATACACTTCTTCATTTATTCAGAAAAACTTTCAAATTCTGATTAATGTTTGCTTGAAACAAAACCTACCTCCACTGGTAACAACTGGTGCTGGGAGGTTTTGGTCACCCAGATCTGTTAACATCCACGCTGGAAGGATTCTCTTCCTCTGGGCAGGGTTGGACTGCTGCTTACTGATGTCTGAACTTTCACCTGCGGAAGACTAAAAAGTCATGTATTTTATTAATTACCAAACATAAGCATGCTCCCTTAATAAAGTTGTAAATTTTTTATTTTGCAGAAAGCTACCATTAAAAAAATCCATCTGCAATTATGGACTGAATTAGTAAAATTTCCCAAAGACATTCATGATCTCTATTACTTGAAGTGTTGTGTCTAATTTCAGTTGTCTTTTCTCTCCTTGAAAAAATTTAAGGGACAGGTTATAAATGGATGAGATGTTAAATTTCTCACCACACTATTTGTGGAAGAAGTCTGGGTTGTCGCTAATTCTGTGCTTCCTTCCAGCTGTGGGGCACCAGTTGTCTCATCAGGCAAATTAACCAAGGATAATTCTGGTGTTTCATTCACTATATCATCTTCATCAAGCATTTGACTATTTCTAGAAAATAAAATCAAAATCATATATTCATCATTTAAATTTAAAACTGCTGTTATTTGTTATTATAAATGTAAGTCTCCCAAGTACATTTAAATAATGAGGTATGCTACTTTTCTCAGACTTAGAACAAAAAAGCAGACTGTAGTATAATAGAATAAAATATTTAAACTAGAGCATGTTGTTTGTCTTCTGACCACAGGATCACCATAAAACACATTGATCTTTCTAAATCCTGGGCCTAAAAACCACAGCTATTTATCAGATGGGGGTTAGTCATCTCTCTCAAGGCTTAAGAGCTACTTACTTATTTAATATTTGTCCAGAGTCCATAAAAGTTAATATCACCACCCAGAATCCAAAGAGAAAATGCAAACTGCAAATATATTAGCTAAGTTAGTTAGGCCCTTGGAGAAAAAATAAAGTCCTATCACTGTTACTGGGGTTCTGGCCAGTATAGCCACTTGTAAAATCTCCCCAAACATGCAGCCTGACTGAAGCTAAATGTTCTGACACATGGCCACATGTGGAATATACTAGTAGAACCAATTACTTCCTACTTGCTGCAAATGTGATAAGATTATCCAAAGTGTTGCATCATTATCACTTATGTATGCATAGAGATGATCCTGCAAATTTATCTTTTTGAAAATTTGAAAATTGAAATTGAAATGCTCCTCAGAAATAAAAAGGAATGAACTGCTGGTATGTACAAAACATGCATGCATCTCAAAGACATTTTGCTAAGGCAAATGAGCTATTTATATGACATTTTGAAGGGTAAAGCTACAGGGACAGAAATCAGGTCAGTGGCTGCCAAGGGCCAGGGGTGGAGGAGTGGGACTACACAGACAATTGAATGTTATCCCAGAGAGGCATGCTAAAATGGATTTCTAACGTAAGACTAGACTATCCACCAGATGGCTATGTTCCTGGAAGGACCCAGAACACTAAGCAATAAAGCATACACTAGTGAGACAGAGTTGAGTAATTCAATGGTAACTGCCTCTACAGGTCAGTTTTAGTGGTAGAGGAGGCTGCCAAAAAAACAGGGCTCCTTAGTATCAATGAAGATGACAAGATTCTAGAATTGCACGGGCCAGGTGTTTATCACTAACCATCAGAGGCTAAGTGGATGTTACTGGTATAACAAACAGCAAAGGTGAAATGGCACTGGTCAGAAAGCATTTGTAACAATGTCTGTCCACCTAGCTGGAGACCACATTATTCAGCTTTCCTTGCAACTCTGTATGTGCCCAATTTGGGGGAATGGGGTGTAATGTAAAAAAAATGAAAATCATTACTGCACATCAGAAATCATTATATCATCACTAGAAGCCTAGTGCATGAAATTCTTGGACAGGTAGGGTCCCTAGATCTGGCTGGCAATCAGGGACAATTGGGTCCTCTGGCTGCCTGCCCAGGCCTTCTTTCCCCGGCTGCCAACCAGGGCCTTCCTTCATTTTGTGCTGCCCTCCTGGTGGTCAGCACACGTCATAATGAGCAATTGAACTTGCAGTCTTCTGGTCGAACTCCTGAAGGGACATTTTGCATATTACCTATACACACACACACACACACACACACACACACACACACACACACACACATATATATATATGAATATTTGAAAACTCCAAATCACAAATGGAAAAAAAGCTAAGAGTAAAATCAACACCTTGAAAGAAATTTTACAAGAGCAGACTAATACAAGAACATTTTATTTTTAATATAAAAACACAATTAATTTGGTTACTCTAAATTAAGCACATAATTACCAAAACATATAAAAATATTTACTACCGCTTTCAACACATTTGGCTTGATAGCAATAACACACAAGATAATACTCCTTATAATAACCTGAAAAGAATAGAGTACTCTTAAAGTGGGTTCTATTTTCAGTTTTATCAATACAAAAAATTTTAAAAGTTCATAATCTGACTGAAGGCACAACACTGATCTTTCACACCAAGGGACAAGCTAATTTGAATAGACATAAAAATTAAAAGTGACATATAATAATGTAAATGAGTTATCAGGCAATGGCTATAGTTTGCCTAAAACAGAAATATATAGCATTTTCTTGATTTTTGAAATAAGTAAATAATTCTACTTTTATAGGTCCAGTTTATGTATTATATAACTTAATTTTACTCCAGATGTTTATTTTAATACCTCATTTCCCTATTCTATATTTTGTTATTTTTATAAGAAAGAAAAGTTATGCAACTTTAGTCTAAGTCAAAGATTAATATCTTAATAAAGAAAAATGGGGGATATCTGTAATACTTTCAACAACAAACATAATAAAATAAAAACTTTAAAGTGAACAAAAAGGCCGAGACTGGTTTGGCTCACTGGATAGAGCGTCAGCCTGCGGACTGAGGGGTCCCAGGTTCGATTCCGGTGAAGAGCACGTATATTGGTTGCGGGCACATCTCCAGTGGGGGCTGTGCAAGAGGCATCTGGTCGATGTTTCTCTCTCATCAACGTTTCTAACTCTCTGTCCCTCTCAATTCCTCTCTGTGTAAAATCAATAAAAATATCTTTTAAAAAATAAATAAATAAAAATACAAAAAAAAAATAAAGTGAACAAAAAGATTAAGAAAATATAGTGAGTTTCAAATTAACTATCTGGTTACTATTAGATGGAAAATACTTTCTGAACACAATGGTAAAAGACACCACATATGAGAACAATCACTACTGAGGCATGAATTTCCAAAGTCAAATGCTTTCCAGAAACACACACAAACACACACACACACACACATACACACACACACACACCAAGTAACTCCTATCTCTCCAATACAGTTTAATACTAGAATAGTTCCTACTGAAGCATTTGCAGATGGCTGAGGAATTAGATTGTAAATATCATTACATAATGTCATTTCATCAGGTAATCAGGCAATCTTACCTTAAAGTACATTCCAATTCTGTTTCAGAATACGTAGAGAAAACACGGAAAATGTATTTGTCAACAAACAAAGAAAAACTATCTCCAGGGTTCAACCAGTGCCATAGATTTGTCTTCAATGGTAAGAACTGACTTTTCTCAGAAGACTGATAAAAACATGGACTTGTGTGTATCTAACAAAGAAAGAATACAATGATGTTGTAACTCAAAATTATGAAAAAATACAACTGAATATGAACTAATGCATAATATAATAATTAATGAACTGATACATTAATGATATGAACAGATGCATTAATATCATAATCATTTAAGTGTATAAGAAACTTAAAATTCTAATAAATCTGGAACTTATAAGTACCATAACTCTTATCTAATCATACAAAAAGAGCTGCAATATACCTCCAATTTCTCTAAGAATAAAAAATAAAGTTATCAATTAACTGGTTAAAAGATACTCTGATTTGCTTGAGGTAAATTAAAATTAAAAAGAGAAACTTGAAAAAAATTTCTCCAGCAATGCAACAAAAACTGTGTTATTGGAAAATACTAAGCATTGTTACCTATATGCCCAAATTTTATTTAAGGGGGGGGGGGGGAAGACAATGTTGAAATTTAGAATGAATATAATCTACCTAGTCCTGGCAATTTAATTTCATGAGGATTTGCCATCAGATCTATTGGTAAAGCTGCAATTGAAAACATTTGTATTTTCTTTAAATCTGTGTTAAAAGCAAGCAGTAAAATAAAACTTGGAGATCAGGAATAGAGGTAAAATTTTAAAACAGAGGCTATACAAATTAGGTAGGCAATTATTTTATTGGTCAGGGTCATTTTGCAAAACATGCACAAAACTACATAAGAATGGCAATGAAGTGATGCCCCATATTCCTAAAAAGAGTTGTGAATGTTTCATTTTTCAAAATCAAGTTCTAATTTAAACTTAATGTTTAGAAACCTTTCATTATGCTAGCAGTCAGCCCTAATTTACCTCCCAAAGTGGCTCTCTGCCCAGAGATTTTGAGTGCAAAAGGCATGACAAGCCACCAGGTTCTGAGCTTGTGCACACTGCTGGGCTTGAAATCACTTCCTACTACTCCTTGAAAATCACTCCTTTTGAGGGAAGCCCCCCTTCCTTGGGTATGCCATGGTCACCAGAGTTAGGAATGTTGGGTAGCAGAAGGGACAAGAGTCAAAGCAGCAATGTACATTAGCTTCTTCTAGAGCCGTGAACATTCATTCAGTGAGGTTTGCCTCTTATAAGATATGATCATGTTCTTATTCATGAATATTTTAGAAATTCAGATGAATCTCTAAACATTAGATAATGGTATAGTCTTTTTTTAAAAAATATATTTTATTGATTTTTTTACACAGAGGAAGAGAGAAGGATAGAGAGAGTTAGAAACATCGATGAGAGAGAATCATCGATCAGCTGCCTCTTGCACATCCCCTACTGGAGATGTGCGCACAACCAAGGTACGTGCCCTTGACCGGAATCGAACCTGGAACCTTTCAGTCCGCAGGGGACATTCTTTACATTGAGCCAAACCGGTCTCGGCAAATAATGATATAGTTTTAAGTTTACAAAGGCTAAGATGTTAAATACAAGGCGTAAAATTCTAAGAGTAGAAAACGTAAAATACTTTTAAGAGGAAATTAACTACATTTGGCTGGGGACTGAGTGGAGGGATATAAGGGTCAAAAGAGGGAAATGGGGAGAGATCTGTAATACTTTCAACAATAAAGATACATTTTTAAAAAAATGCATCACAAACCCAAAGTCGAGAAAACTTTCAGTTTGAGTATTTTTTTTCCTTACGTGAAAGCACTTATTTAAATTTTAGGAGGTTGAATATCAAGCACTTAGCAAATTCAGCCATAAGAAAGCAGAAAAATCATCTTTTTTCTTTTCCTAAAACTATTCATACAGGGAATCCCAGAACTAAGAGCAAAAAATGATATCCCAAGAACTCTAATGGTTGATCCTGTAACTTATACCTAAATCGATATACATTTTTAAAATCAATGTCAAACTAAATACACTCCAACTAAAAAGACACACATGAAGTTCAAAAGATAGTTTTTTAAAAATCTAACAGTATTAATAAACACAAAGAGAGAAGACATACACATGTACATACAAAATATTTGGAGAAAAACAATGACATAATTACATATAAAGGAAGACTTGTGAACAATAATACAGTAAAATATTATAAATATTTTATGCCAATAGATTTACGCCAAAATTGACAATTATCTTTAAGAATATAAACCATACTTTTAAAAAATGTATGTTTATGTGTGTATGGGGTAGCTTGTTTAAAAAGGAACTATAAAAAGAAAAGATGGCCCTAACCTGTTTAGCTCAGTGGATAGAGCATCAGCCTGCGGACTCAAGGGTCCCAGGTTTGATTCTGGTCAAGGGCATGTGCCTTGGTTGTGGGCACATGCCCAATGGAGAGTGTGCAGGAGGCAGCTGATCGATGTTTCTTTTTCATCGATGTTTCTAACTCTCTATCCCTCTCCTTCCTCTCTGAAAAAAAAAAATGTATTTTTAAAAAAAAGAAAAGATGATTGAATTTGATGTATTTTTTAAAAATACAATTAATAATTAAAAACCTTTCAAATCCCTCTGAAAACCAGACCCAAGTTTTAAAGAATTTTTTGAATATTCAAACTCTTCCAAGACTAAAAAAGATGGAAGTCTCTCAAATTCCTTCAGTAAGGTTAGTTCAACTTTGATTCCTCAAGCAGACAAGGGCAGGCAAACCGAAGCCCGAGTGAATGAAAGGTAAGAACTGCCCATATCAGAATCATATCATTGTTATGTGCCTTTTAACATATCCTTGGGATTATAAAGGTGAGCCTAAATAGATGCTATTATTGTATAAGTAGTAGAAAAGATACATTATCCCTGAATAAATGGAACTAAAATGTAGTCAATTTTCTATAGCTTACTCTTGGAGTTATCATCAAATATTAAAGAAAGATTGATTTGTACCCAAAAAAAGAGGTTCCTCTCATTTTCAATGTTGTTATTTTTTTTTTTTAAAGCATTCTCTTTTACAAAAGTTGTGGAAAAGCTATTGCAGTATTGTATAGCTATTTTACAAGTACACTCATAATTTTATGGGAAGAAAAACAATCACAATTTCAAGAATTTTATTGTGCAATAGAAAAAACACAATCACCCAAAGATGTATTTTTTGAGGATCAATAACCAAATGAAGACAAAAATACATCATACATGCCGAAACCGGTTTGGCTCAGTGGACAGAGCATTGGCCTGCGGACTGAAAGGTCCCGGGTTCGACTCTGATCAAGGGCATGTGCCTTGGTTGTGGGCACATTCCCAGTAGGGGGTGTGCAAGAGGCAGTTGATCGATGATTCTCTCTCATGGATGTTTCTAACTCTCTATCCCTTTCTCTTCCTCTCTGTAAAAAAAAATCAATAAAATATATTTTAAAAAAATAAAATAAATAAAAATAAAAAAATACATCATACAATTTTTACATAGCTATGTAACCATTCAATTGATTTAATATTAGCCTTTATTATATAGGACTAGAGGCTTGGTACACAAAATTTGTGCCCAGAAAAAAAAAAAAAAATTCGTGCCCAGGTAGGATCCCTAGGCCTGGCCTGCAATCAGGGCTGATCTTCCCTGGCTGCCAGCCCTGACCCTTGCTGCCACTGTTTGCCCTCTGTGTATGGGGTGACCAGTAGGGCGATCAGGGCCCTGGTGCTGCCCGCATCCGCTGCCACCCACCCCCGGTTCCCCATTCCCCACCAGGTGATCAGAGCCTGCTGGCTGAGGGAAGGGACTGAGAGGTTAGCTGGCAGCTCCTGCGTTGGTGGTCACTGTGCATCATAGTGAATGGTCGTTCTGCCATTCTTAGTGCTGCTGCAGAGGCAGGAGAAGCATATTAGCCTTTTCTTATATACAACAGTTTCAATAAAATACCTATTCCCTTGAAATAGATTTATTTATTTATTCATCTACTTATTGCAGCTGCACTACAAGGTGCAATTTAGAGAAATATACAAAAATTCTAAAACTGACCTTTTTTTGTTCTTTTTAAAAACTGACTTTGTTAAAACAAGTTTTAAAGATCTTGAAAGTAATGAGAATGAGGTGAACAAGTGATGCGCACTGACCATGAAAGGGCTGACACTCAATGCAGGAGCTGCCCCCTAGTGGTCAGTGTGCTCCTACAGGGGGAGCACCACTCAGCCAGAAGCCGGGGTCACCGTGGTGGAAGCTTCTCCTGCCTCTGCAGCAGCACTAAGGATCCTTCTGGGGATGTCCCCTGAGGGGTCCTGGACTGTGAGAGGGCGCAGGCTGGGCCCCCAGTGCATGAATCTTATACACCGGGCCTCTAGCACTTTTATGAAAATCCATGATATTCCCACATATAGTTCTCACTGCAGCATATACTCATGAACTGAATAAATATTAGTTACCTATTATGCATTAGGCATTATGCTAGATACTAGAGATAGGAAGATTAGTCAGTGTTCCTATATTCAACAAGCTTAAGGTCTAGTAAGTTTCACTTTGAAGAAAAAGGTCATTGGACTCAAAGAAAAAAACTGATGGTAAATAAAGGTCGGCCCCCTCCCCCAGAATGCTGACTACAGATATTAGCACTTTTCAAGACACTAAGAAAATGTAGAATGAGATACAAACTTTCTTTAAAAGTATTTATTTAAGGTTGAGGTGGTGTGAATTCATCGGTATTCAAAAATTTTCCCAATCTAGAATTAAAAGGATACTTCTCAAATTTGAGAATAGTTCAACATAGGATAATAAAAGTACTATCTGTATAAAAGAAAGAATTAATAAAACAACAAGAAGTTATACATATTAAGATGAACATACATGTAGGTTTTTTAATGTTATAAATTAATGAAATTCATTCCATGTTAATAATTTTAACACCCCAGCATCAAGTCTAAAATAATTGTACCCTCATACACATATTTTATTCTCCTATTCAATAGATTCTGCAAATGAAAAGGAATAATCACACAGTATATTCTCAGAACCTGCTTTCCCTACAACATATCAGTGCTTAAACTAAAAGCAAGTAATTAAAATTCTAGCCCTTAACAGAAACTTTCAAATTACAATTATTTTTAAAATCCTAAAGTTGAATAAGGTTTAAATTTTAGAAATATTCAACTCTACACGGAGAGATAGAGAAATCTATTAAAATATAACTCTATAACACTTAAAGTGACTTTGGTCACTACCCTACCCCCTTTAGTTATGAGCTTTTTATAGGATCTTATTTGTAATACCCCGTCATGAACAAAATAATCATGTACACGTGAATTGGTAGTCATCTTTCATTAGAATCCTGTGTAAATGTAACACTGCCCTATAGGAAAGAATGTAAATAGTTTCATCTTTATCTTCCAATTATCTTCTGGCAATAAAAAGGATATGTTTTGACATTAATTTCCTACTTCCATAACTTGAAAAATAAGCCCTTCTGATCTGAAGCTGGAAAAAAAAGTGAGAGACAAAACATTAAAATGTATCATTAACATATTTACCGGTTTGATTCGAAGCTGACCACCCACCACCTCAAGAATCGCATGTCTTCTGGACACTCTTTTGTCTGTAATCTACAGTGGAAAAAAATAAAAATTTCAAATACAGCCACATCCCAAAAAAACAACAAGAACAACATGATTGTCCTCATTGAACAAAAAAACAAAAACAACTGAAAGATTAAGAAACCTGCCCCAATTCAGAGAAAAATAAATGGCTGAGCAGAGACTTAAGCTTGCAATCTAACAGATCCCAAAACCTACATGATGGTTTCCATTCAAGGCAGACATTTAGTGGGGATTCTTATCAATAATATTCATAAAATTAGAAAAAATCTATATATTTTTATTAGAAAACATTTCAAATACAGTAAATACAGTGTAGGTTATGATGACTAACAGCTTTTAAAAGCAGCAGTCTAGTAAGTATAAAAGTTAGGACTACAGGCTTTAGAGTCAGGCAGACAGACCTGCGTTTGAGCTCTGGAGCCAACAGCACTAACTACTTAAGACAATAGGAAGGTGGGAGGGGAAGCAGTGACAATCACATATTTACAGTGAAGAAGAGACTGTTATCTAATATATACTGTATATTTGCTTTCTGTGTTTGAGGCAATAGTGCTCTACTTATGCTCACAATCATTTCTGCATACAAACGTTTAAAAACTGTTTGCACTTCAAATGCTAAAATTGCATGGCTATAACAATAATAGTTCAGATTACCTTTGTAATTTCTGGCTGATTCATATGACAACATTTCAAGCATCAATTTAGGATAATTACTTAGTCCATCTTCTGGTTACTACCCACATCACAACCAAAATTATAGGTAAAAGCAGACTACAGTAATGCCTAAATTCAATTAAATCCATTAGCTTTGCAAGACCTATCAAAATGTGGAACTACCAGGAATCAGTACCCATTTTTTTAAAGCCAGAGAGCAGTTCCACACTTAAGACTGTAACTAAAAAGTAGTAACATCAAGCATCACAGCAGAATGAACTCCACATCTATAAATTTTCCACACAGCTGCAAGTTAATATTTAGAATATTTTCTAAAATAAAGTATCTTTTTTATTGTTGAAAATATTACAGATGTCCCCTTTTTCCTCCATTGTCTTCCCTCCTCCTCACTCCCGCCCTCTCCAAAGGCCTTCATTGAACTAAGTATCTTAAAGGCAGCCCTACTAAAATTAGCTACTATGAGCCACCATGGTTATTTCAGAAAAGTAAATATAAACTAATAATCTATTCTACCAGAAAAGAGAAGATAGGAATTCAGAGGATCCTATAATCTTTCCAACAATGCTCCTCAGTGGGCCAAAATCAACAGCAATTATCTAATAACCCACTTTATTATTTGCATACAGCTTTCACTTAAGTGTTGAGACTAACTATAAACAGTACTTAATACTGTTATAGCTATTATTCACATTTTACATATTTGGAAATTGAAAGCCCAGAGAATTTAAGTAACTTTTGTAGGTCATTTTTGAGTAAGTAGTCCTCCAAATTCATACTGTTATTAATAAAAATATGTGAGAAAAATGTTCATATGATTCTACACCTACATGTAATCATTCAAACATCATTTCAATAAATGCAAATTATTCTGTGGCTTAGAGTAAGAAGTTTCTATTTCTAACTCAAATACTAAGATCTCATTGTTAAGTTCAATAATACAAGTCAATTTGCTAACCAATTCTATCCTATATAATAAAAGTCCAGCGACCGAAATGGCAGAATGATCAGAATAACCACGGCCCTTGCCCCAGCTGACCCCAGCAAGTGCTTAGAGGCGATCAGGCAGGCAGGCGAGTGGTTAGGAGCAATGAGACAGGCAGGCAGAGGTGGTTAGGGGCAATGAGGCAGGCAAGTGAGTGGTTAGGGGCGATGAGGTAGGCAGACAGAGTGGTTAGGGTCGATCAGGCAGGCAGATGAGCGGTTAAGGGCAATCAGGCAGGCAGAGGCAGTTAGGGATGATCAGGCAGGCAGGTCAGTGGTTAGGGGCAATCAGGCAGGCAGGCAAACAGTTAGGAGCTAGCAGTCCCGGATTGCGAGAGGAATGTCCAACTGCCAGTTTAGGCCCGATCCACAGGGATCCCTGCAGGATCGGGCCTAAACTGGCAGTCAGACATCTCCTGAATGGGCCTGGAATGTGAGAGGGTACAGGCTGGACTGAAGGGGGACCCCCCACCTCTCCGCCCACTCCACAAATAGTAGAATAATAAACTGTCAAACATAAAACCATGATACATAATGATGTGTAACTGTCCAACTTGGGTTTCTTTTTTTCCAAGCTGTATTTTTGCAGGAAGCAATAATGGACTCTTCCTATCTGTCTGAAGTAGGCTTCACTGACAGACATACCAGCAAGAAAGATTTTTAAGTAATATAAAAGTATAACATGACCTCTAGTGGTCACATGACTCCACACAATGTAATTTCATTGCTAGATGTGCATCTCTATAAAGAACAAAAAAAAAAGTGCTTTAATGTCTTTGAAATTAACATCTCTCAGATATTTAATTATAATTGTCCCTTTTAAACCATACCTCTAACAAATGAGTAAGATTTAAAAATACTATGTTTTCTCAATGGAAAGCTCAAAGGTCTAATAAATTACCATTTAAATTTATTTGAATTTCAGGATGGGGTGAGAAGTGTGGGTGGTAGGTGGAAGGTAGGTCACAAATAAATTATCCTAAATGTCTTAGGTCCTGCTTACTTTAACAATTGGTCACTGCTCCTTGTGCAGAATGAATATCCACACATTGTTATTAATATATTAACTGTAACAGCAATAATGTATCAAGACCAAGAACACTATACATATCATGTATTATACTTTTTAATCTTCACAATATCTGTGAAACAGATACTATTATCTTCATCTTTATATGAGGAATGGCAGTACAGAGAGATTAAGCAATTATGTAAAGTTATGTAGCCAGTGAGCAGTGGAACTAGGATTTAAACCCACAGAATCTAGTTCTAGAGACACCTTTGCTCTAACACTGTACTGCCCTCATTATCATTAGGTAAAACATCATTTTTCAGATTATTTACTAGAATATATGAACAAAACTGGAAATAAAGCAGAAGGGCTATTTAACCAGCAAGCAGACATTCTGAGAAAATTTAAGCTCTAAATAAAGCTCCAAGAGGCCTCAGGCTCTCACTTGGTTTATTCTAATGGTCATACCCAAGTGTAACAAGATGCATTATCTAAATTCTCAATTCTCAATAAGGCCCAAACCAGTGTGAATAGCTGAAGCCTAAATATTTACTAAAATTACAAGAGACAAGACCTACTATGTGCAGCCTCTACATAAAAACAAGTTAAGAAAGCAGAGCCGGGCTGGCAGGGCTCTGGGAATCAGCAGTTGAGCGTCAACCTATGAATCGGGAGGTTGTGGTTCAGTTCCCTGTCAGGGCACATGCCTGGGTTGCGGCCTCAATCCTCAGTAGAGGGCGTGCAGGAGGCAGCTGGTCCAGGATTCTCAATGTTTCTATCCCTCTCCCTCTCTGAAATAAAAAAATACATATATTTAAAAGAAAAATAAATAAACAAATTCTCCATTCACAGTAAAGAATAAAGTGGGCAGGGTTTAGTAAGCAATACATTGACAATGGGGTGTGGATGGGAGAAATGACTAATGTTGGTCTGCAAGTGGAAAGAGAAAGGCGATAGAAAAGCAAAGAAGCCCCAGGATTCAAAAAGAATACGCTGGCTAGAAGCTATTGAGAGTAGGGACAAATGACATAATATCCTTCAAAAGGTACTAAAGGCTTACCCCAAGTTTGCTTATTGATTATAGGAGTCATCAGGTTTAAATGAAAACTTCATTTGAAAGTCAGACATTTTTGAATCTTAGCCATAAAAATAGTTAAAATCAAGGAATTCCGGTTTCATATAGAATAACTGTAACCATCTAAAAATCCTAATCATACCACATACCTCCCTCAAATCTAAGATCAATAAAACCAACTATATCACACATCTAAAGTACTAGGAGGCAGAGATTACCACAAACTTTAATGTACATGTAAGAGGGGAAAGAGACATCAACTGCAGAAGACCACGCTTCAGGACATATGCTGCAACGGACAGGTGACAACTGGGAGGAAAAGAAAAAGAGAGAGAGGGCAGTGACATGCTACTCTCAGTTCACATCACCTATGGAATACTCTTTCCCAGATGCTTAACCTGAGTCTAACTATGGGGAAAGAATCATTCAAATCAAGCTTGTGGGCATTCTATGAAATGACTGGCCTGTGCTATGAAAGATAGAACAGGTTTAGATTACAGATTATATATGTGTGTGTTGTTGTTGTTAATCCTTACCCAAGGATATTTTTTCATTGACTTTTAGACAGTGTTATGGAGGGGAAGAGACAGGAAGAGAGAAACATTGATGTGAGAGAGACTCATCAATTGGCTGCCTCCTGCATGTGCCCAGTTAAAAATGTCCAAATGTCTAGAATTCTTCGTAGTGATGGATGGCCAAGAAACAAAGGATATAAGAGAGACTGTTTTAACCACATTTTCTAACTTCTGTATCTTCTGCTTTGATACCTAGGTCATTGCTGACAAGGAAGAACTACCCCTCCCAGTAGTTCTTAGAGATAATAAATGAATGACTCACCTGTAAGGACACATTTCACATGCAAGCAAACCAACCAAAACCTTACCCCCAATCCCATGGCCTTACTTGGCTCTTACATTGCCCTAATCACCACAGGCCTAGGTATCAGACAACTAAGAACAGCCCCAACAGACCTCAGCTCAATAAAATTATTCAAACTAAACCTGCTTCCTTGCCTTGCTCATTCATTCAGGAGAAACCTGCTTCCTTGCCTTGCTCATTCATTCAGGAGAAAGCCACAGCAAAGACTTTCCACTCCAGTTTCCCTAGCTCTCTCCACCTTCTGCCTTCCACTGACCTAGGGTTCCCTAGTGTGTCCCTGCATGGTGTGCCTCTCTTTGCCTTGGGAACTGTGAGTAATAAATGGTGTTTTCAGTGACAATCATCTCCTGATCAGTTGGCCTTACCATACCTGATTAAAACCAG